TTACTTGGTATTGATTTATATCAATTGGAAATGATCTTCATGGGTTATCTCTTTCACCGAAGTGATTAATCACAAAAATCTACAAACTCACCCATGATGTGCGTTGTGATGTAGACACTTTTGGTTGCAGTTTGTCCACAGTCGGAGGAGCCATAAACCTCAAACTTGTATGAAGTGCCTGGAAATAACCCTATCACTGTAGACGTTGTTGAATTTGTTTTTTTGGCGCCAACATGTTTGAAGCTTTTATCGTAAAACTTTGTACCATTGTAATTCACCTACGTGATGGAAAACAACAGCTTTAGATGAAGCATTTCTTAACATTCACATTAAATACAAATCACTACCTATCTGTGCCATAAGATCAAGCAGCAGCAAGGATTAAACATCGTTGTGCTAAGTTCTTCAAACGTCATTGCTTTTGAATTTCGTAAAAGAAATGCTGAAGCTGATGATCTCAGATTGTTCCATTTCAAATTTTATGAAGTCTTGAGTTTATTCCTTTTGGTAAAATACATGAAATTAAAAAAAATTAAACTTAGGACACAACTGAACCAAAATATATTATCTGAAGCAAATCCTGGGTCCTGTGGTAATCCACTAGTTCATGAAAACCTTACTACTTGAAATGAATTTTTATTGTTGCAAATAGTTGTGGATGAAAATACATCAAAACCTTCCCTTTTGAAGTCAAGGTAGGTTCATAGTTTTAGAAAAAATGAAGTAAGAGAATTGAATGCACATAAATTTTAAAACAAATATTTAGTATATTTATTGGTCAAATCTGACTTTTAACTTTCCCTACAGAAAACATAACTATAAATTTAGCCCCACTCACAGTATAGGTAACTGACTCCTTTCTGTCGGAATGTTGCCACGTCAATGTAACGTGGGTTGTTCCATAGTCCGCTGCTCTAAATTCCTCTGGTGTTTCTGCTACTTTGGTAGAACATTGAAAAAAAAGGAACAAATACATCAGACCCTTCGAGAGGAATGGAGAGCTTTTGCAGAATACCCTAGTGCAACAATTTAAGATTGTAATCATGAAGATAATAAACGTAACCAGTAAACGTTTAAAATACAGCCGAACCTGTATTAGGCTGCACCGTTAAACATGGCAATTTTCACCTCTATTTAGTAGCCACCTGTAGGAAGTGGTCGAGGTCACCCTTTACTAAGTCCCAAAGGCTAGTTTGATTTGTCTTCCGCAGTCGCTAAAAGTCGAACCAATCTAATAAACTTGAGAATAATATTTCAAGTAATTCTTAATGCATATTCATTTCCCAAAATCAAAGCATTTAGTAGTATTTTTGGGCGACATTCTATAAAGCAAGTGGTCAAGTATGGCATTGTGTTTTGTATCGTTTTTGATGGTGCCTCTAATCTATGGAACCTGTGTTAAGCTATCGCCCCCCGCCTAAAAACTTGTTTTTTGAATCTTACTCTTGTAACTTCATCGCCCTGAAAATAATCTAAACAAGATAGTCTTGGGAAGATTGTGACTTAATAAATACCTCATTTCAGACAATCCAATGTGCGTTGTGATGTAGACACTTTTGGTTGCAGTTTGTCCACAGTCGGAGGAGCCATAAACCTCAAACTTGTATGAAGTGCCTGGAAATAACCCTATCACTGTAGACGTTGTTGAATTTGTTTTTTTGGCGCCAACATGTTTGAAGCTTTTATCGTAAAACTTTGTACCATTGTAATTCACCTACATGATGCAAAACAACAGCTTTAGATAAAGCATTTCTTAACATTCACATTAAATACAAATCACTGCCTATCTGTGCCATAAGATGAAGCAGCAGCAAGGATTAAACATCGTTGTGCTAAGTTCTTCAAACGTCATTGCTTTTGAATTTCGTAAAAGAAATGCTGAAGCTGATGATCTAAGATTGTTCCATTTCAAATTTTATGAAGTCTTGAGTTTATTCCTTTTGGTAAAATACATGAAATTAAAAAAATTAAACTTAGGACAACTGAACCAAAATAATATTATCTGAAGCAAACCCTGGGTCCTGTGGTTATCCACTAGTTCATGAAAACTTTACTACTTGAAATGAATTTTGAATGATGCAAATAGTTGTGGATGAAAATACATCAAAACCTTCCCTTTGAAGTCAAGGTAGGTTCATAGTTTTTAGAAAAAATGAAGTAAGAGAATTGAATGCACATAAATTTTAAAACAAATATTTAGTATATTTATTGGTCAAATCTAACTTAACTTTCCATACAGAAAACATAACTATAAATTTAGCCCCACTCACAGTATAGGTAACTGACTCCTTTCTGTCGGAATGTTGCCACGTCAATGTAACGTGGGTTGTTCCATAGTCCGCTGCTCTAAATTCCTCTGGTGTTTCTGCTACTTCGGTACAACATTGAAAAAAAAAGAACAAATACATCAGACCCTTCGAGAGGAATGGAGAGCTTTCGCAGAATACTTTAGTGCAACAATTTAAGATTGTAATCTTGAAGATAATAAACGTAACCAGTAAACGTTTAAAATACAGCCGAACCTGTATTAGGTGGCACCGTTAAACACAGCAATTTTCACCTCTATTTAGTAGCCACCTGTAGGAAGTGGTCGAGGTCACCCTTTACTAAGTCCCAAAGGCTAGTTTGATTTGTCTTCCACAGTCGCTTAAAGTCCAACCAATCAAATAAACTTGAGAATAATCTTTCAAGTAGTTTTTAATGCATGTTCATTTCCCACAATCAAAGCACGTAGTATTTTTGGGCGAGATTCTATACAGCAAGTGGTCAATTATGGCATTGTGTTTTGTATCGTTTTTGATGGTGCCTCTAATCTATGGAACCTGTGTTAAGCTGTCGCCCCCCGCCTAAAAACTTGTTTTTTGAATCTTACTCTTGTAACTTCATCGCCCTGAAAATAATCTAAACAAGATAGTCTTGGGAAGATTGTGACTTAATAAATACCTCATTTCAGACAATCCTATTGTAGATATAAAATCCTGACCATTACTAAACTCACTTGATGTTAC